CACACACACACACACACACACACACACACACACACACACACACACACACACACACACAGTGAAGCAGAGAGGAGAGAGAGGAGGTGAACAAGGTGGTAAATGTCAAACAGCGTGAATACAGGGTTTCTGTGATGGACTGCTAAACGATTAGCACCACTGCTTCAGGGTCACAGCAGAAGCACCGGTGGTTTGTACCGTGTCAGAGTGTCCTGTCTGGGTGTCCTCATTCCACACTCCTGCTGACCTGCACTCACTTCACACAAGAACAAAAAACACCAACACTTATCAAAAGTTATTAGGATCTGAAGAGTACTGAAGTTTACTATTTGTGTTTGTTTGATTCGCTCCAGAGTTAATGATACACGTAGTTTAACACGCATGCGAGCACACACACGAGATCCAAGAGGAAATGCTGGAATACTAACTTAGTATTGTATTCCATACAATTCTAAATCCTCATCTAACCTCTGTTTACTGAGCTGTTAACATACTTCCTGTGCCAAATGTTATTAATATTTATTCAAGAGCAATTTCTGTTAATAGAGCCAGGGAGTCTATTTTATTTATTGTTTGGTTTTGTGTGGTTTATTTTTTATTTATTTTGGATATTTTGAATTTTCATTCAAATGTTATTATGACAAGCTTACCTTAATATATTTTTAATAATGCACCAAGTTAGAGGTTTTCTTGCACAGTTTACAGCTTTAGTTCTCTGAGAATTTCTTTCATATGGTGTCAAAATTGGTATAACATACAATGAAATCCTTAACTGAATCATGCTTGAATTGAATCAGAAATCAAATCTAAACCTTGTAAATCAGAATCAAAAGGACTTGAGAAATCAGTGGCAATACCCAGCCTTCACGAAATTACCAATATGTATGAGAACTGTCAATAAATCGTATAATAAGGGTATTACTGCAGTGTCAAAAGGCACAGTGAAAATTTTTGAGTGCACCTAAATGAAAAAGTTAGGTGCACCAGTGCAGTCAATGTAAAAAAAGTTAGTCTGGAGCCCTGTAGCTTACATTAAAGAAGAAAATAAAAACCAGTCTCAGTACACTTTGTACAGTATTAGACAAAGACATACATTTCACTACAAATACACCATCTCTGAATAAAAGAACACAAATCAAATTGGCTGAGGTAGATTTTGAATTACCTCCCCTGTCCAGCCAGTGTTTGCGCTGACGGTAGAGCAGCAGCTTGTTGTGGACATAGGGCAGTAGAAACTTAATACACCAGCTCTCAACACCCAGCTTGTTCTCCACCAACACAATGGGACTGCGGTTGTAGCGGGCCTCTGGACATGGGATCACACCAATCTCATCACTGAGGGAGAGGACACAGAGAAAAAGGAGTGAGGACAGTTTTTGCCTGTTGTGGATAAATCGCTCTGACTATTCATCATGTGGTTCCTTATTGGTATAAGGTCCCATTCTCAGTAACAGTTTGACAATTTATTTGATCAGAAGCTGAGACACAACCACTCAGTCCAGCTTGGTCTTATTGAATGCTTTTCTGTGTTCAATTATTTTGTTATAGACTATGAAATATCATTCTGAAGGTCCTTTCACAATGTGCAATTAAAAGTTTCATGTCATGATGTTATACTGTGAAAGGTGGGTCTGATCAATTCTTGGTCCAAAATGAATGTGTTAGAACGAATGATATTAATTTGAAGCCATATCAAGAGGTTGTGACAGATGTATGGTGAATAATTACATAATTACATGATGTAAAAAAATAAGCACACTGAAACATGCAATTTGCATATGTCTACAGCAAAGGTGGAGCATTAACAGCTTTGATCATAGCACTGAGGGCTTTCTTTCTCAACTGAAAAACACAGTGCTTGTCAAGATGTAAACCTCTATATAAACTGGAAACTTAGTTTCATCGGATGGTGTTATATGTCCACCTGCCTTTGTTGAATTGGTCGGTTTGAAGACATGGGTCCATATAAGTTGCATTTCAAGGCATTGCCACTCTTGTTAGAATGTTTCTAGCCATGAGCTCAGTAGTTCATCCCTCACAAATGATATGTCTGCTTCATCTTATGTTTGTATTTAATCAGACGAAACGCTGATAAGTCCTTTACTAATCCTGACGTCGGTGTACTTGTAAGAAAGAGGACGCCTTACAACAGCAGATACTAAGTTTTCAAATAAAGACATACAAAGCTAAATAATTACTATATTACTGAATCTCTCCGTTAATTGCAGTGATAGGCCCTTACGGGAAGCGACACAGTTTTGACAGCCACCTTACCTTGTAAAGAGGTTACAAAGCTCACTACAAAAAGAACGCTACGGATGCTGTTACATATCATGCAGTTTAATATGGGGTGTTTCGACGAAACTCTCCAAGCCATTAATTAGAATAAACAAACAGCTCAAATAGCTGACTAAACTGTGAACTTTCCCTTGGCCGGTCGGATTCCAGGTAATAGTCCATGCCCAAAGCTGAATAGCTGGATCGTGCTGTTGTTTGCCTTACGGTCCACGGGAGGTGACAGCCAGACCGTCTGCTTCCTTCACAGTCAACTATACTTACATGTTGGGATTTCTCTTGAAGGCAGTGGTGATGTCTTTGACAACTCTCTGCACCAAGACGTGCACCTCTTCCTCCGACTCCGCCATTTTATCTGTGACGTCAAACGGACCAAGTTGTTGTTGTTCTTCTTCTTCTTCGTCTTCTTCTTCTTCTTCTTCTTCTTCTTCTTCTTCTTCTTCTTCTTCCTCTTCTTCTTCTTCTTTTTGTTGTTTATTGGCGGGTGGCACCTAACGTTAAAGGTGCATTACCGCCACCTACAATGCTGGAGTGTGGATCAGAGTGTTTGGTCTGCGAAAATACACTAATAAAAAAAAACAAAAAAAACAACCATAATTTCTGTGGGTTTAACTCTTCCACCCCACATTTCCTCAGCTCCCTCTTTAGTTTKTCTCTCTCTGTGTTATATATCTGGCAGTGACAGATGTCATGGTCCACAGTTTCTTACCCTAAACCATGTTCACACTGTCCTGATGGGTGCTTCCCAATTAAATGCATTGTTTTGTTTAGTCCTATTCTTAGACTTGATATACAGTAACTGTTTGTTCTCTAGTGTTTTTCCCTGTTGTTTTCATTCCTCCCACGTTTTGCTTTATTTGATACAGATGACGTCCTTTTTCTCCCTCATCCCATTGTTTCTGCCAGTCTTTCATGATGCTACTCCCAATTATTGTTTTGGCTTCGGCCTTACTGAATGTTACCTCCATATTTATTTCCTGTTTTAATGCTTGCTTAGCGATTGAGTCTGCCATTTCATTTCCCCCAATGCCCCTATGAGCTGGGATCCACATAAATCTGACTTCAGTTTGTGAATGATGAAATCTATATTGTGTTTCATATATTTCATAAAGAATATCTGCTCTGCATTGGGATGACATTGATTGTAGTGATACTAATAATTATAGTGAATCTGAACATACTATAACCTTTTTTAACTTGTTTTGCTCTGCCACTGTATTGCCATTGTTATTGCCAACATCTCTACTGTATATACTGCCAGGTGATCTGGTGTTCTTTGTTTTATATTTATGTTTATGTCTGGGATAACAAAAGTAAATCCAGTTTTCCATTTTTGGCTCCTATAACACATCCTTTGTCTCTCTTCATCTTTTCTTGGATATAACATTCTAATGATACAGGGGGAAATACCCCCCTTGTTTCACAGGATAAGGAGCTGTATACTGCACTGTATATTTTATCATGTATCATTTTGCCATTTTATTTACTGTCCATACATAACATTCTGTCTTATCGTTTTCACTTTCTCAGCATGGTCTAAGGGCCCTCACAGTTGGATGTTCTTCTTCTAAAAATAAGCTCTTAATTTGTACCTAAGGTTCAGTGGCATTTCTCCCATATCCATTTGGACAGCTATATTGGGGGAGGTCTTAATAGCCCCACACCATAGTTGCAGTGCCTGATTTTGTATTCTTTCTATTATATTTATCAAAGTTTTTGCTGCTGCCCTGTAAACCATACTTCCTGATCTAAATATATTCTAAATAGCTCTTCAACTGGCTCTTCATTCAGACCCTCTGAGCCATCTCATTTCACATTCTCCATCTTACTTAGGACAATGCACATTTGTCAACATATCAGCAAAAAGCATCAATATAAATATACTCGAGTTAGCACAGTTGCTAAATTTCATCCACATGCTAATGCAGGTATCATAAAAAAATTTATTAAAAAAGATACAGACAATACACCATAACAAATGAATAAATAAGTCCCGATTCGCGTCAAAGTTAAAAGTCCATACACAAAATAGAAAAGACGAAGAGGTTACCCATGAGAGCAGGTCTGGGTTGTTTTCAACCACTGTTTAAGGGTCTTTTTAAAGGTGGTGTTATTGTCACAATTTCTAACATGAGCTGGCAGTGTGTTCAAAGACTGTGTTCCTCTGATGGAAACCACCATTTGGCCAAATTTAGTCCTGCGCAGTTGTACATCACAGTCTCCTCTAGTCAGTGCTCTGGTGTTTACTCTGGAGGATTTTGTTTTTATGAAGTCCTGCAATGGTGGAGGGGCTAATCCTTTCAAAACCTTAAAGATGAGACAGACATCCAAAAACAACTGATAGCTAACAAAGTCCAAGATCTTGTACTTATTAATAATTTAACAATAATGGTAATGTATAGGTTTTTTGTCAAGAGTTTTAAGCGTTCTCTAATTACTATTTCCATCGTTACAACGGCGTTGCTGTTACTGACAATTAAATGGGGCGCGTTATAAACTAAAGCTGTCTGTTGTCATCCGACTTGGCTCTCAGCCACAGGAGCCGCAAAGCCGTATTTTTTCTTTGGTGAGGAGAGGAGGGAGGGGCGAGACAATCGCATAAGTGATGATGACTGGCTAAGGTGGAGTAAGCATCCTATTGTCTACCTTATACCTGGTTGTTGTTCCCATCTTAACCTGGATATTATCTATCCAACAAAAGTTTTTTATCCAATTAAAAGTTATCCCTGTTATTCCCACTGTGTCAAGTTTAGTCATTAAGCCTTCTCTCCAAACCATGTCATAAGTCTTCTCTACATCAAAGAACAGTGCCATTAAAAATTCTTTATTAACTTGAGCTTTCCTACTTTCTGCCTCTAAACAGATTATTGGATCCATTGTTGCCCTCCCTTTCCTAAAACCACTCTGATAAGGAGATAACAAACCCCTACTCTCTATATGGCATGAAAAAACTACTGTGTCATTTATTTGAAGTGAATCTTTTGATTGGTCTAATTGAAAATCATGGCTTCCATTTTAAACTTGTTTCTTTCAGTTTGCCTAAAAGCAAACAATACTTCCCTTGGATCAAATAGTATTTTCACTTAAAATTATTTTCTTGCTCTGCAAGTTTTGCTGCCGCCATTACCCCATGCTGGGGCAGTGAAGATGTCCATTGTGCAACTTTTTAAAATACGAGAAGAACTAATATGAACATAACTGATATCCCAAAAAATTAGGATTTAAATAAAATAAAGAAATTAGGGTAACTTAAATGCATCAATTTGAAAGCTTAATATCAACACCACCTTTGAGTTAATATTAAAAACATGGCGGCCTCCGTAGAGAGGGTCCCCTCGATGTAAATATAAAGTATTTAAATATAAAGGGCCTTTCCTGTAAAGAAAACTTCAATTCATACAATTTAGATGAAACAAACTAGTGACAACATCATGAGGATTATTCTGCATTAAATTTCTGCCAATAGATCCCTTTCATCTAAATCTTACACACTGGACCTTTAATACATGTCAATAACTATATTTCTTTTTTCTCTCACAGTCCCTCTCTCTTTTTCTCTCATTGCAGGTATCTCTGACTCCAGAACTGCAGGAGAACAACTACTATTATTGTAATTATTAACAACAATACTTATTAGTAATTTATTATTATATACATTGTTACTGCTGTCATTAATAATCAATAACTTCTTTACAATGTTATTGTTTTTTATTTTAACTGGTCAGATCTGATACCTGAGGGTGAACAAGTGTTCCTGGTCTCTCTCACCTCTCTCTCTCCCCATCCTCACCCTCTGCACTATCACTCTCTCTTCTCTCCCCTCTTTTCCACCCATGTCTCCTCTCCTCCCCATTTTTCTTTGCTCACCCCAACTGGTCGAGGCAGATGACCGCCCACACTGAGTCTGGTTCTAGAGGTTTTTCCCTGTTAATGAGGGAGTTTTTTCTCTCCACAGTGGCCAAAGTGCTGCTCATTGTGGGAACTGTTGGGTTTTTCTATATTAACTAAGAATTTAAGGTCTCTACCTT